CCCAGACTCTGTCTAACTGCTGCAGCTCATTAGGATGCAGCCTGCCCCTCCCAAGTCCACACTCAGAGCCCTCAAGATGACCGAGAACAGCATGGCGAAGGCCGTCCAGCTTCGTTTTGGAAGGCCTGGTCACACCTCCTCAGTTCTTGCCTTCACCCTTCTGGGATTCCTGGATTGTTGAATGATGTGAACACACCCTTCCCTTGAGACCTTGACTTTGAGCCACCACAGACTAATTGCCTATAGTTAGTTAGTTAGTTAGTTTGTTTGTTTGTTTGTTTGTTTGTTTTTCAGTGCATTTTCTTTAAAGTTGGGAATGTGCTATCTGGCCTCTTGAGGTGGAAAGGTGTGGCAAGGCATAGTCCATGTGTTCACTTCCAGAGTCACCTACTGTTATCTGCTTCATTACGATTTTCCCATCTGCTTCTCAGGGCCATTTAGTGCACAGCATATCTTGTGTTCCATGAAAGCATTTCAGTGGGTCCTTGGTCTTCTACCTCTTCTGTGTAAGGATGGGGCTGGGCAAGCTTGACCAGAGTATTCCATTGTGTTCTGGTACATGGTAGTTCCAACCTTCTCAACTCAACTGCTGTCTCCACAGCCCTTCTACTGCCCAGCTTGGGAAGACAGGTCAAGCTGAGAGCCAGTCTGCTCTTTGGCTGCCTGGCCTGTGCCATGAAGTAAGGGAAGAAAATCGTCTTGACTTCAAGTCTTATTTGCTTATGTCTCCCTTTGTTCCCTCAGTGTGATCCAGCGCTGCTTCCAGAGCCCAACCACGTCATGCTGAACCACCTGTATGCACTCTCCATCAAGGTAATGACTTGTCTGGCCTTACAGTACTTTATGAGCATGTGCTCTGAGGACCCATCATGCCAGGATTGGGGTGTGACAGGCCCTGGCTCAGGCTCTGCCCAGGAGTTTCTGTTTTCCTTAAGTTGTGGTGATTCTCACGTTCTCTGAAGTTGGAGTACCTGACTGTCCTGTCTTGGTCATCTCCACCCTCATAGGACGGAGTGATGGTGCTTAGTGCAACCCACCGGTACAAGAAGAAGTATGTCACCACCCTCCTCTATAAGCCCATCTGAGATGCTAAGAGCCAGCCGTGGACCACAGGGACAGCAGGCAGCACTGGGCTCTCCACGTGCATGTAGACCCTACTTCACTCTCTGGGACATCTTACCCCTCCCTAGTCCTCCTTGAAGGTTTGTCCAGGCACAGCCTCTAGAAGAGTCCAGAAATGGGATGGGATGGCTGCCTGCAGTCCCAGAACTGCAGTGCATGAGGCTAGTGTACTCCAGACATCATCCCCTCAACTGGCCAGAGATGTCTAAAGCCAGACCTGAATGCTGGCACCTTGCTAGTAAAAACTGGGGAGCAGGGACTGAAGCCACACAAAAGTCTTCATCGTCTGCATCCAAGGTTGATGGCCTGTCCCTGCTGAAGCCTGGCCATGGATGTAAGCAATATTCAATCTTGCCTGTCCTTCCAAATCAAAGCAGTAGATTGTAGAATCTATGGGAACTCAGATGTCTGATTTCCAGATGCAGCTTTGCAATTGTTGCCCGACACTGTGTGCACTAAGGACCTTTTATAACTACAGTGGCTGGCTCTCCAGTCCTACCTAAGGCAATAAGTCACCCGGATGAGACTGTAGATCATGTGACTACACTCAGCAATAATTGTTCTCAACACAAACTTCAAAACCCACTGCCGTATTCTCCATTAAACTGAATGATCCTGAGGACTGGCCATCATGGGAGGTTGTTCACGCTTTCCTTCAACTGTAATGGTGACAGTGTTTCCATGACACCTTTGTCAAAGCACTCACCCTCCTTTCAGTTCCAGCATGTGCTATTTAGCTGGGGACCCATGTCTCTAATGAGCAAAGGATGTCACAGTGATTGCTATTGCTTGTTCTAGAAGAACTTGAACCCCTACAGCAGCCTGCTATATTCCCAGCAGGACGATGCCCTAGGGATTAGTGTGAATGACACTCATCTTGGTTTCCATAGTGATACCACAGATGTGCCCATTGGTTATAGGTTCCTGTCACCTGTCAGCAGAAGTTACCATTATATCCTTCGTTCTTGCCAGAGAGGTGAGAACAAGCTCAGTGATGTCCAGTATTTGGCTAACCTGAGTTTGGGTACCATCTGTTACTGTTTTCAAAACACTGAATTGCTGTCATCTTGATGTGTAAGTTTCAATAAAGATTTGTAAAACTAACCAGAGGAAGTTGAGATTCTATTCATTTTTTTTTCCCCCAGAAAAAATGAGAACTTCCAGGTCTGCTCGGTGCTGCCTTGTAGCACTCTAGTGAATGGACAAGACAGTGTAACGTCAGCTCCTTAGGAAATCTAGAAACCCATGCCTGAGGCCAGAGACCAGGGCATTTTAGAGGACAAGGTTCCTGGAACATGAGCACAATTTCACATTCACACTTACACCGTGGCTCATCTGCTGTGGTCTGACTGTCCCATCCAAAGCTCATTTGTCTGCACTGTAGTTTAAAAGGTGCTTTTTAAGATGTTGGGTCATGAGAGCCAACCCCCCAACCCTCATGAGGTAGGCCTTACAACAGGGCTTCTTGAAGTTTTTGGCTAGTTTACCTTCATGACTTCCACCATGTGAGGACAAAGCCTTCTGCCCCTGTACAGCAGCCCTGGCCAGGTGACCACATTTAAGCATCTTGTCTCAGACTTTCCAGAAGTACAAGAAATAAATCTGTTCTTTATAAATGACACCGTCTCAGGTGCAATTTACTATAGCAGCACTACACAGAAACATCCACCCATAGCCGGGCAGTGGTGGCACATGCCTTTAATCCCAGCACTTGGGAGGCGGAGGCAGAGGCAGGCAGATCTCTGTGAGTTCAAGACAGCCTGGTCTACAAGAGCTAGTTTCAGGATAGAAACCCTGACTCTTAAAAAAAAAAAAAAAAAAAAATCCACCCATGTTAACAGTCTGAAGGATGTGATAAAGGCCCATTGAGTTAAAGCTGCTTCACATGGGTCTCCAGCACTTGTACCCAGCAGATTAATAGACAAACAGAAACTTGAGCCTTTGCCTTTGAGTTCGAGTCTTTAAGAGAAAGCAAGGAAGTCATGAATATGTCTGTATTTCTTGTAAAGCCCATCCACCATCTCAGATAATTGTAGGAATCATGCAGTCTTCTTGATACCTCTGAGTTCAAACCTCAGAGGGGATCCTACAAGCTGAAGCCTCGTCTGTGGGGCCCAGCTACTGTCTCTGGGATGCACATCAGTAGGCTAGCCCTTACTGTTGCCACACCCACACCCCAAAGGGAATTCATCTGTCCCACCTGGAAACTCCACAGCCAGGGAGGCCAGGAGACAGCTCCAGGTGTGTACAGTAGCAGAGTCACTTTCAAAGTCCTTCTCTCCACCTCTAGTAACCCCTTCTGGGCAAACAGCTCTATTATTCATTGACAGACCCTAGGGGAAGCGACCATTGCTGTACTTTGTTGCCACCCACAGCCCCCTCAGCTTCGGAGAAACATACATTTGATAGCTTCAGACAGAATAAATAGCAATTAAACCAGCAAGAAAGATCTGACCAGAACTGCCTCTGCCTGGAACAGCTAGAGCAGTTTCTTAGTCTTGGCTCTACAGGTATAGATCATTCTTTGCTATTGGGGAGGAAGGCTCTCTGTGAATTACAGGATATTTATAGCACTGCCCTGACCTCTTTACCCATTGAATACCACAAGGAACCCATATTTGTGGCAACCAAAACTATCACCCAGAATCACTAGCTATCACTCTAGCAACATGTAGAAGAAGGAAGGGAAACTGTCCTGGCTGAGAGCCACTGAAAGGAGCCAATGTAATTATGGTGGAAGTTCGGCCGCCCCACCCCTGCAGGGCCAACCTCATCTCTTGCTCTTGCTGTGGGTCTTCGTGAGTGTTGTAAACTAACCTTTGGCTGAAGGCCCTTTTCTGCACACCAGTTATTCAGTCCTATTAAGTAGACTATCTTTTTTTTTTTTTTTTTTTTTTGGCTCCAGGAACCAAACGTTTCATGGTCATGAAACTTGATACGAACTCAAAGTCTTTAGTTTGGTGAGAATTAAGTTGTCAAGGGCTGGGCCTCATTTTATAGTGTGACTTAATTTCATAGTTGTTTTGTAGAGGTAGTCCCTGCTGGTCCAAAAGACCTCTGAACAAGTTCCTTTTGAAACCAAACCCTGTTTACTTAACTTTTAAGGCAGCCTGTGGCTGCCAAGAATTCTTAGGCTAGTGACTGAAAAGGTTAGCTAATAGTTAATAGACTTTTTTCTAATGTTTGTTCTATGGGAAGAAGTTGCAACATCTCACTTCCTCCTTTGTAAGTCATTTTTTTTTCTCACAATCACAAAGAACACAGCCTCTATAGCTCCCATAAAAAACCTGCTAGATCTGACTCTCAAAGTCAACTTTTAACTACATCTTGTTACATTTTAATCAAAGATTAAAAGCAATGGGTATTACTGGGGAGAAAAACATTTTTCTAGGCCAGTCCAGTTGGCATAACAAAGTGGTGGAGACATTTTACCTTGAAGACAGCAAATGTCTAGTTAGAACCAGAAGCAGTCACAGTTACCTTCTGAACGACATCCCAAAACCAGTTGCAGGATTAAATTCTCGGTAGCCTCACCATAATGGGATCAGGAAAATCCTGCACTGACCTGTTTTCCTGGTTAGTTGCCTTACAGCTAATCTGGTCTAGACTAATCCTTTTAAAGTAGAGTAGGTGGCTGCTTAAGCTTTCTAGTTCCCTGCCCTAAAAATGACCTTAATAACAAGCCCTTGGTTCATAGAAGCATTCACCAAACTAGTGGTCCCCACCACTCTTAATTCCAAGATTCCGATTCTAGCCACCCAGGTGCACCCAGCAAAAAAGCTTCCCTCAGAGCAGAAGTGCTGTGCCAGTGAGCTTGCACTGGACTTGCCGTGGTTTTTTATGGTCTCTGACAAGAAAAGACACCAAGGGAGCCAACATTCTGAGATCATTGCTTTATTTCACTATTGTTCAACAACCAAGTTCATTCCTCTCAAGGTGGATCTGGAATTGTCCCGTGTGTTCTCATTCTGAATAAAAAAGGTAATGAAGAAAAAGCCTGTACTTTTGGAGACCTAGAATCTTATTAATGCTAATAAGCTTTTGACTGCGATTTCGGGTTACAATTATTTCCTGCTGGCATCTCGGTGGTCACACAGAGAGCTCCCCACTCCTGCGCGGAGATGGCTGTCCACAACTGCCACCGTTGAAAACAAACAAAAAAAAAGTGTTGAAAAATGCACCTTTTACAATAAAAAAGTAGAAACCAATTCAATTTCCTTTTTTTTTTGTTACGAATATAAAGTTTCTTGTAAATATGTACAGTCTTTTGAGCTAGTTCTATGTAGCAGGAAGCACTTCACAGATGAGACACGCAATATACACTGTCAGGGCTCAAGATGCCCATTTCTCGTGGAGGTCCTAAATGAAATGCCAAGACTGAAGACCAGTTATCAGTGACCATTCCAAATACTTGTGGACCGAGAGACAAAAACTTCAGCAAATAGTCAGTCAGATCTGCCCTGGGGGGATGAGGATAGGGAACATGACCCCAAAGATTCCGAGCAACACAGAACGCAGCAGCAGGGCACTGGACATGGAGGGTCACGGGCGTCTCGAATGACAGAGCACTTAGGGCAGAGACGAGCAGGAAGGAGCCGGCATTTAGGTCAGGTTGTAATCTGGGGAGTGACATGGGACTGTGGACACGTGGGCTGGAAACACAGACACGGTCACCTGCTGCGGTGGGGACAGGTCTACCTTTCAGCCTACCTAGGATGTGCCTTAGTTGTTGAGGCACGCCTAAGAGTCATGGAGAATCCAAAGCAGAAGAGGCCTTGTGGGAGATTAAAGGCAGAAGTAAGGCCGCTAGTTAGCTTGCCAACTGCAAAGCCTCTAAGTTGGTTCTATCCGGTTGCCAGGAATTCGGCACTCTAGAGTGTGGAGGGAGACTGGGTGAGCCGCACTGCACCTAAGGGGGGGACTCGCCAGCCCCACAGGGCTGGAAGAGTTGAGCTGCGGCTTCTCTCCAATGTCCTGGTCTTAGGTCCAGCCCTAGGGAAAGGCTCATCTGCGAAGTCACAGTTTCGTGGGGTAGAACCGTGCTGGGTTTTTGTGTGAACGCACAGTCGTCCTTGAAGCCAGCAGGGAACTCGAAGATGGGAGGGGAAACTCAGGGAGAAGTGTGGTTTGCTGAAACCCTTCTCTGGTCGTAAGGCTTGAGCGATTTTTGTTTGTTTGTTTGTTCAGTGCTACAGACTGCAGCCTGTTGTGGCCGGTTAGTTGACAAGTCATCAGAGGGTGTCGATTTGGTGGGGCTATGTGATGGCAGCAATACATTGGCAGAGCAACCCAGGGAGGAGTCAGCCAGGTCAGGGGCAGCACATGCAGTGATCCGCCATGCAGGGCTCCCAGACAGGTCTCCTCCCCATTCCAGAGGAGTGAGGAGCAAGGCACCGACCCTCAGAATGGGAGGTGGGTGCCCGGGTCCCAGGCCTAACCCCAAGGCCTATTAATGCTGGGCTTGGAGCAAGTCTATTGCGTGCTTTCCTGGCCAAAGCTACATGGAAAGCTGGGGAAGCAGGTCGGGTAGATGTCGCCGAGGGGTAGGGGAGTAGAGCTTGATGAGGTCCCTTGGCCCCAGGTCACTGCCTCAAGCTGAGGCCCCATTGACCTCCATACATTCTCAGCTGGTGGGAAGGGAAGTTGTCAAGGCCATAAAAGGCAATGAGAACAGTAAACATTTGGCTACGATGTCACCCTGGGTAAAACAGGGCCATCTATGAGAATGGACCAGAACAAGAATGGAAGCTACATGAACACGGGAGGTTAGCCAACCAACGGGGGACTCTTCTATGCTACGTTTCAGTGGCAAAGACCTGATGGTATGATCTAGCTAAAAACGACTACAACAGGAAATACATCACTATCCAAATCTACTAAGAATTCTGTTGTCTTTAAAAAAAAAAGAAGGAAGGAAGGAAGGAAGAAAAGAAAAAGAAATAAAAGAATCAAAGAAAAACCAAAGAAAAACCAACCAACCCGAGGATCTTAGAGTAGCAGGTAGACTTCCAGCCACAGTTCGTGTCCGGGTTGGTTTCCTTTGATGAACTGGTACAGGCTGGAGCTCAGTACAAAAGTCTCTGAATGACTGAAAGAATAACAGATTGCAAAGAGGATGACTGTGATGACTGCAGGAAGGCCCCACCCCGTGGGGGGGGGGGCACTGAGTGCTGGCAGCGCCTAAGAGCCTTGGCTATCTGCACCCCTTGGAGATGGGGGTATCCGTCCAAGGACAGTCTGGTCCCAGCTATGCTGGATGTGGGCTGAGCAGACGGGCGCTGGGGTTTCCTGCAGCAGAGACCCAGGGTGCTGTGTTTTCCTGCAGACTGAGATGAGGAGGTGGTTTTCCTGGTTGAGACCTATACTGAAGACTGGTCCCAGACCTAGGAGCAAAATAAGGAGGAGAGGGTTTAGCATCCAAGGCCCTGTATGAGGCAAGTATTTTTGTATGGTGCCTGTCCTGTCCCTCCAGTGGTTACTGTGGTGCCATATAGAACAGTGCCAACCTAACAGAGCCAGTCCTCAAGGGATGGGGTCAGGCAGGAAACAAGTCACTGGAAAAAAAAAAAAAAACAAACAAACCCAAACTGAATTTGCATGGATGTGTGTACACATATGCCCACTCTGCTTTAATTCGAAAACATTTATGTGGCTCTTCTTCTTTCTCTACCAAAAAGTCCTAACCGTGTGCTGTAGTAGCATCAGTAGGAGAGTGCCACTCAGAAAATCATGCGCAGGGGATGGGAAGATGGCACCTCTAGCTAGAGTGAGCTCCAGAAACTGGACAGCCCACTTAGCAGGATGGAACATCAGGACTTGTGTGTGCACTCATGAGAGTTACCTGCTTCGACATCTCCATCTACTGATTCAGACTCTATCCTAAAAACCGCACGGGTGCCAAAACCATTTCAGACTGAAAAGGTTCAAAGTTCTAGAAGGCAGAAGCATAGTTCGAAGTTTCTGGGTAACTTCCAGAAAAAATATCAGTGTCTACAGTACATATATGTGTTTTCACCTGTGTGTCTGAAAATATCTAGAATGTTTTCATTTGTATTAACGGAGGCGGGGCATACAAACATTTGCTTGATTCACAGAATAAACTTAGAAGCCACTAATGCTGCCTCTAGGGCAGGGAACTACATACCCGTTGGTAGGTGTTTTATTCTGAGGTATGCATGCACCTCCTTCCCTTAAATCACATGTGTTGTCATTTGTGGAGAAAGCCTCTTAAATAATGTTTTCTTCTTCAGCTTTTACTCCCTACACGCCTGAGCCACAGTGATGGAGTCCCAGCTGGGGCAGCCTCTGGCCATGTAACAGCTGTGCAGCCTTGGACACTTCCTCACCTTGTTAACCTGGGACAGTGGGGTCCTCACAGCTCCTGCAGGCAGCCGGCCCCTGCTGCTGTCTTCAAACAGTCTCCCTGGGGACCGCTCTCTCCTGGTGCTGAGCATCCGGCCTGGGGACTTCTCCCGCTCCAGGGGACGACCTGGGGACTTGTCCCTGCGCAGCTCTGCCCGGCCCTCTCGGTCTCTGTCTCGGTATCGGTGGGGTGTGCTTGGCTCTCGAGGGTGGCTGGGGCCTTCAGGTGGCGCTGGGCTGGAGGCCACACGTTTGGTGATGTGCTCATTGTATGTTGGTGGGCCTCGCTTGTTGGGGCTGCTGGGGGCAATGAGAGAGTCAGGGGGCTGAGAAGTTACCACCCCAAAGCTGCAATTCCCTTCCCCTCTAAGTAAGCAAGTTCCTTCTTATCACTGTCCAGTTTGGTTTAGTTTTTGAGACAGGGTAGCTTCACTATGTAGCTTCAGCTGGTCTAGAACTCACTATGAAGTCCAGGCTGGCTTCAAAGTCATGATCCTCTTGCTTTAGTTCCTGAGGGCTAGGGTTAAAGGTGTAACTATTGGGGAATATTATTTCAAGGTGTGTTACTTTTGTTGATGCTGCATTTGGTTAAGTCTGTGAAGCTGTGATTCTTTGCCTGTCTAAAACACCTGATGGTCTAATAGAGAACTGAACAGCCAATAGTGAGGCAGGAGAAAGGAGAGGAGGGGCTGGAAGGCAGGCAGGATAAATAGAAATAGAAATCTGGGAAGAAGGGAAGAAGTAGCCAGAGAAGGAGGAGGACTCCAGGACCAGCCAGTCACCCACCCAGCAAGCCATGGAATAAGAAACAAAGGCAGGTATACAGGAATAGAAAAGGGAAAGCCCAGAGAAAGGTAGACAGGATAATTTAAGAAAAGCTGTCAAGAAACAAGCTAAGGCTGGGCATTTATAACTAAGAATAAGCCTCCGTATGAGATTATTTGAGTGATGGGTGGCAGGCTCCCCCAAAAGAGCCAAAGAGTAAAAAAAATTATGACATACCAATGTGGGCCCAAATTTCCATGTAGGACCTAAGAAAGCTGGGGGCAAAAGCTTTAAGAGGCGCTGCTGTTCAGCTGGGAGCACTAAATGGAAACTAGAAAAGGCAAGCTAAGTAAAACCGCTTATGGCAACAAAAGCAGGCATGGGCTTCCACAGCTAGAAATGTTTAGTGCAGTCCCCTAGGTCAAGAGCCTCTGACTGGCTGTGAGCTCTGGGCTTGGCTTTTCTCACCGAAAAGCAGGCAGAGCCAGCCGACAGAGCTGCATGAAGAAGACCCAGGTGTAGTAGCTTTTTTTTTTTTTTTAAAGATTTATTATTTTTTTTAACAGATTGCAACTCAAGTCCCTTATTTACCTCAAAAAAAGCTAAATTGATAGAGCATAAAGTAACAAGCCACAGGTGCACCCATCTCTCTTAACTTTTTTTTTTTTTTAGGTATAATTGGTTCTTTTTTGGTAATTTTTTTTATTCAAATTAGGAACAAGCTTGCTTCACATGTCAATCCCTTCTTCCTCCCCACCTGCCCCCCATTTATTATGTATTATGTATATTGAGTCTGTAGGCCCGCAGGCCAGAAGAGGGCACTAGATCTCATTACAGATGGTTGGGAGCCACTATATGGTTGCTGGGAATTGAACTCGGGACCTTTGGAAGAGCAGCCAGTGCTTTTACCTGCTGAGCCATCTCTCCAGCCCTTGGTGTAGTAGCTTAACAGTTTAAAGTTTGCGCATTCGGTCAAGAGATAAGCAGTAAAAGAAGTCCGGACAGAAAAACCTCTAAACAGGTTCTAGTGAGTTTTACAATGTGTGCAGGCTTAAGAAAGAAAGAAAATGGGTATAGGCAGTTCTAGAAAGAAATAGTTAAAAAAATAGTCTTTAAGGAGACAGTAAAAATAATATAAAAGAAAAAAATCATGTAAAGATGGGAAATACACAGGGAGTCTGGATCCTTTTTGTTACTGTGTTGATTTTTAATTTTTTGATTGCTGAAAAGCAAAAGATAGCTGCTAAGAGACATGGGATTGACCGAGGGACTGACAAAATAAACCAGCCTAGATTCTTAAAATAGAATGCCTTAACTGAAGAAAAAAAAAAGTCAAAAAAAATCTGTAAAATGGAACTTAAAAGATGCATTGCTTTGGAGAAGTGTTTTTGCTTTTGTTTCCACAGGAAACCAGAGGCCGTGGGTTCATTCCAGTTTGGTGTGGATCAAGAGAGACCACCTGAAACTTGACAGGTGATACCTATCAACAAAGGTGTACTGTTGGTCTTCCCAGGACTTGGTCATAAATTCAGATTTTCTCAGGAACCCTAAAAATGCCTTTGCCCACATTCAACAGGAAGCAGTCTAGAGAACACAACATCCACATTCCTAAGAGCTGGGTTGTGGGAGGCTTTGGTTATTTGGTGGGTCGTGGATGTTTGTTATATTTATATAGAAATGATATATATAGGAAAGATAAGCTAAAAAGGGTAGATTACTGAATCTACTTTAAACTGAAAAACAAGTATTAACTTCAAATATTTTGTATTGGTATGGACTTTTGTATACTGATACAAATTTAAGGTCATTTTTGTTACACTGTACATGTTTCTCTCATATTTAAAGGACGGTTGTATGCTGATACTAATTTAAGGTCATTTTTGTTACACTGTACATGTTTCTCTCATATTTAAAGGACGGTTGTATGCTGATACTAATTTAAGGTCATTTTTGTTACACTGTACATGTTTCTCTCATATTTAAAGGACGGTTGTATGCTGATACTAATTTAAGGTCATTTTTGTTACACTGTACATGTTTCTCTCATATTTAAAGGACGGTTGTATGCTGATACTAATTTAAGGTCATTTTTGTTACACTGTACATGTTTCTCTCATATTTAAAGGACGGTTGTATACTGATACTAATTTAAGGTCATTTTTGTTATAACATGTTGTATATGTTTCTATTCTTGTTTAAGGCATTTCATTTTAAAATGTAAGCTAAAATTCTAGTTTTGAAAGCTATTACGAACTATTTAGGATAATCAAGAAACACAGGTCAGTAGTTAGTCATTTGTAACAATCAAATTTGTAGATATGCTAGGTATGTTTTCCAGATCATATAAAGATATATTTTTGATAGATGGTCTTCAAACCTTTCAAAGACCTACAGAATATGGCATTTAAAATGTTTGTTAATTTAGGACTTTTCATGACAATGAGACACATCATTCCTGGCAGCCCTGAGGCAGAGCTGATGGGCACCGAGAAACTCCTTATGGAGTTTGCTGCTTTCAAGGTGGCAAGGCTAGCAATTTAGAAAAGAACCTGCCTTTGCCTGGTCTACTTGATAGTATATTGTATAAACTGGACATGCAGGACCCACAGGAAAGTGACCACTGAACTTTGCCAAAACAAGACAGAATAGGCCTTCAGGGTTCCTGCTTCACAGAAGAAACTGCCAGACATTCTGTAGGACATAGGGGAAAGTGACTAACTGTCAAATTTCCTGCTTCACTGAAAAGTCTACCAGATACTATGGGATCGATGCCCCAACATTGCAAAAGAACTTTGGGTGACTATCCAGGCAGTCAGATGTCTATGTCATTGCTAGAGTTTTTGGAAGTTGTTTGCAATGCATGTTTTGTTAAATATTATATCCTTCTGGTACCTTTGATGGAGTAAAAAACAAGATAGTTATAGTTGCAGCTTTCCTTAGATATGATAGAAAGTTATGTATAAAATTTTGGATTTACTAAGATAGGATAGATTAGGGAGTATTTTCTTTAAAGTTACCAAACACAAATAAGTTAGAATTCAGTATATTGTAAATGAAATCTTTATTTGATAATTGTTGTTAGTGTATACAGTTTTACTATGTTAAAGTTAAAACTTCATTTTTGTTCAGAAAGAAGAAAAAAGGGGAAATATTGGAATATTTTAAGTGTGTTACTTTTGTTTATGCTGCATTTGGTTAAGTCTGTGAAGCTGTGATTCTTTGCCTGTCTAAAACACCTGATGGTCTAATAAAGAACTGAACAGCCAATAGTGAGGCAGGAGAAAGGAGAGGAGGGGCCGGAAGGCAGACAGGATAAATAGAAATAGAAATCTGGGAAGAAGGGAAGAAGTAGCCAGAGAAGGAGGAGGACTCCAGGGCCAGCCACCCACGCACCCACCCAGCAAGCCATGGAATAAGAAACAAAGGCAGGTATACAGGAATAGAAAAGGGAAAGCCCAGAGAAAGGTAGACAGGATAATTTAAGAAAAGCTGTCATGAAACAAGCCAAGGCTGGGCATTTATAAGTAAGAATAAGCCTCCATGTGTAATTTATTTGGGTGCTCGGTGGTTGGCTCCCTCAAAAGAGCCAAAGAGTAAAAAACCAACAACATTCACTCTTACTAGAAAAAGCTTAGACCTAAGGACAAGGACAAAAGAAACTCAAGCTTCCAGGTCTCAGTGCCAGCTCCCACCTCTGTGTACTCGCCATGCTCCTGGCTGAGCCCTCTGCTCTTTGCCTCACTGTCTCCTAATAGCACCAAATGGGTACAAGCTTGGAGAAAGCAGAGCCCTCGTCACTCAAGCAAGTGCATGGCAGCGGAGAGATAGGAGAATGGAGGTAGGACCCAAGAGAGGTCAATCAGTCTGGTGTCATGATCTCCACACTGCATCATATGAAGCCTGCCAGATGCCAGATGGCTTGCCTGACATGCACAAGGCCTTGGCTTCAACATTTAGTACCACTGAGTAAAGGCCTTGTGTTCTCAGTGGATTAAGGGATTAGACATTGTTAATGGTTAATCTCTGGGCCAGGGTGAACTAGCCAGACTGTCGTATCCCGTTCCCATCCACCTTCCCACTCCCTGCTTGGTTTCCTGATTTTATCAGGTGTCATCCTGTGCCTATAGGTCATCTTATTGCCATGACTGGGAATTGTCAACCTTCTGAGCGTCTGCATCAGGTGCCACAAAAACCTTGGAAAACCACCTGCAGGGAGAGGTGATCAAGCACTGGGCACAGGCCAGCTTGCAGAGGTCATCTGTGGTCAGCTGGTCGTAAGCAGCTTTATGCCATGACCTGGCTTCCCCATGCAGGCTAAATGGCGATTCAGATGAACACACTGAAATCCAGCCCCACTCCACATCTCGGTGGTATTAGATGTGAGGGAACTGATTTCTATACCCTGAAATCAAAGTCTGTACACAGCTCAATCTTTAGCGCTTAGAGAGATAGAACATGCATAAAAACAGATAAAGCTAAGGGGGAGAAATACATTAAGCCTATTTGCAATGAAAGAGAAGTTCTGGAATGTGTCCACAGGGGCCCATCATAAGGCTAGAAGGAGGGTGCTCTGTCCAGTGAATCAGGGTGGCTCAGAGAAGGCCATTCAGAGCATCAGCTGAGATATACGAGAGGAAAAAGGGCACTCATCATTTGAGGCCAAGTGGGAAGTCTTCCATCTCCATATCTATAATGGCCGATGAGCTACCATGTCCATTTTATAGTTTCTGCAGAGTTATGCTCTCTGCTCTGCTAAACAGACCAGGAAAATGGGGCCCGCCGTGAATGACAGCCAGCTAAGCCAAACCAGTCATGGACACTGACCCACCCAGAGCAGCCAGGAGCAGAAAGACCATTCTATAAGCAGAATGGTAGCCGAGAACTAACTGCAGGATCCCCAGGGAAGCCAACATGTTATTGCTGCCCCATTTTGAGCAACTGGGGTCCTTTCGGACAATAGGACAAACAGGTCCTTACAGCAGGACCACACAGGGTTAAGAGTCATGTGCAAGGCCATGGAGAAGCCTGATCCCAATACTTGGACCCCTTTCTGGCATGACTTGGAAATACCAAGATTCTAGAAACATTAGGGGTGCATCTGACCTTAAAGCACATCCCTGCAATAAAATCACACTGACAAAGAGGTAAGGCCATCGCCAAGAAATGTTAAGGTTCAGGAAAGTGTGCACAGTAGTGCCACTTCCAGAACAGTGGGACCAGGACCACACATCTCAGAAACATTGGCTCCTACCCATCAGTAAGAGACAGTTTGTCCTGGCATAGCACCATATTACTATAGATGTGTCTGTCTTTTATAGTATCTAAGTATCTTGGGACACTTGATCTTCACTCACCTAATTACAGGCCCTAGGGGAATAAAGAAAGTGCCCTCAGCATTGCTTTCCAGAGCCCCAGATGTGATTCCTGGCACCTGGCAGGGGATCCTCACAGCTGCATACAGGGTAGCCCCAGATGTGATACCTGGCATGGGAACCTTACAGCTGTATACAGGGTGGAAGTGTTCAAAAAAGCAAAATCATAGGTCAGAGAAATAGTCCTCCAGGTTAAATCTCAGTTTTTGTGGACCAGCATCTCCAGCTTCTTACACATGGATGTAGCTCTGATTCCTAGTCTTCTGGGCCAGGATGAGGCAATAAACATCTACACCCAGCTGATGGAGCTACAAGTAGGTGCAACCCCCAGGGAGGCAAATCCAACACCACCTATCAGAATGCCGTTTGCTGTCACACACCCACTGATTTTCTGGTACTGTAGCCTACAGACTCCTTGATTTTTCAAAGGGGTGGAAGTTCCAGCAACAGACTGGGAGCCATCCAAAGAGATGCTGATGCTTATGACAGGCATTCCAATAAACTGAGGAACAACAGCCAAGCATGAGAGGAGGAAAAGGAAGCCATCTCCAAGACGTCACAGTACAGGTGAGCCCACCCAACACACCGCCCCTTCTGGCAGAAGGAAGCAGGAAGGAAGCTGCAATGGAGGAATGGGAACCCCTGAGGACCTACTGCTCCACGAGGGCAAAGAACAGCCACACAAAGATTGGCCAATCCAACCTTACATGACTCAGAACCAACTATGGTGTGTTGAGACCTTCTAAGATAACCTCAAAAGCTAGGAGGACCTGGTCATTTGTCACTTCAGGTTCTCCATAAAGGTCCTGGATTGACTAAAACCATACCAAGCCTGGGGACCAGGGGTGGCTCAGTGGCAGAGCCCTTGGCTAATATGCCAGGTCCAGGATTCAATTCTCAGCCATGCCCCCCCCCCCAAAAAAAAAAGAAAAAGAAAAAACACACTGTGAGCACACTCATGCATGCTGACCAAGCGTATTGCAAAACTAGCTTGCAGCAATCCAACAGTATTTTTTGCAAGAAAACCAAACTTGGTATGGCTCAATGACCATTTAGCACACCCTGTGCCCTGCCTCTTTCCAGATCTATGGTAGAGTTGAAGCCAGAGGACTTGTAGCCAGACAGTTGCTGTGAAAAATCTGCAGTCTGGCAATGTCTGGAAGTCACAGGTTGGGCTGAAGTGACCCCAAAGGCCATTTCCAGAAGAGGATCAATATCTGACCTGAAAAAGGTCCACTGACACTCAGGTCTCTGTTGGACTGGACCTGGGGATTGCTGGACAAGAAAGGCCCCTGCCCACAGTTGAACAGTAAATGAGCAAAGTGCCAGAGGCAGTCACTGAAGTAGAGGAAAACAAACTTTTGAGGTGATAAATGTTCTAAACTTAGCTACTTGGTAGAGATTGGACGCACTATAAAAATGTTGGACTTTAAAGGGTCACTCCAGCAGTTCTTACTGAGTGCAGTTATCTCAGTAGAGAACTCAGTGAAACCTAGACCATTTGAGGGTTCAGGTGTGGAAATGTACTTCCGAGTGTGAGAGAGTAAAGAGTTGATGTGCATGTGCCTACAAAGAGCAGAAGGGGACATCAGATCCCCCGGAGCTGGAGTTATAGAAGTTGTGACACCTCTGCCCCCCCTCACCCCCTTGCCACACACACACACACACTCATGAGTGCTGGGAACCAAATGTGAGCTCTCTGCAAGCGCAACACATGCTCTTAACCACTGAGCTGTCTCTCTAGCCCTCGCTGTGAGATATGAAGAGGGCTGGAATCGAATCCTAATGTGGCATCTGGAGGAAGGCAGAGCCTTTTGAAGCAACAGGGTTTGATACAGAGACTGGAAGGTACACACATGTGTTGTTCCCGTTTCTTACCATGTGATGCCCTGCACCACCTCAAGACATTGACAACCAGGCCACTGCTAGATGTGGGCCCTCGATGTCAGAACACAACCATGAGCCTCTGTCTTTTGTCATAGTACCAGAAAACAACCATGGTGTTATTTTTATGGAGTAACAAACATGGACTTATGCACATATGCATGCGGAAAGATCTTTAAATAGAAACACAAAAAAAGTTATAACATTGGTTTCTTCCTGGGTAGTGGAGTGAGGGGGAGAAAGGGAAGAACAAGAGGAGAAACCAGGTCCAGTCCCTTTAGGAACAAGGCAAAAGAACTGTTTGAGCCAGGACTTCAGGGCAGCATGGCAACTTGACATGACCATTATCCTCTTTAAATTAAGGGGAAGGAGCCTAGAGTAATGGCTTGGAGGATGAGAGCACTGGCTGCTCTTCCAGAGGTCCTGAGTTCAATTCCCAGCAACCACATGGTGGCTCACAACCATCTGTTATAAGATCTGGTGCCCTCTTCTGGTGTGCAGATATACATGGAAGCAGAATGTTGTGTACATAAAAAAAAAAAAAAAAAAAAAAAAAAAAAAAAAACTGTCTATAACTCCAGTTCCAGGGGATCCAATGTCCTCTTCCAGCCTACTCAGGCACCAGGCACACACATACATGCAGGTAAAATACTCATATATATAACATAAAAATTGGCAGAAAATATCAAGCTAGGTGTTATAACACAGTTGGGAAGCAAAGGAGAAAGGGTCTCTATGAGTTTGAGGCCAGTCTGTTCTATAGTGAGTTCCAAGTTAGCCAAGGTTACACAGTAACACCTTGTATCAAAAAAAAATAAAAATACATAAATCTTTATTTTTTTTCTTAAACACAGGAAAGAAAAGAAACCAAGGAGACTGTACTACTTTATACAATTTATGCCCTTTGGGTTCTATACCCTGGGTTAGATTACCAACGCAAAAATAAATACAAGTTTTAAAATAAAAATTTTAAACTCTAAAGACTTCTCAGGTTCCATAGAAGCCTCTAGGTGGCCTAGGAAGCCACGGCCCATGGCCACGCCTCACACCTCTGGACCTCCCCTATACGTCCTGCCTCCCTGCCCTCCTGATGCCATTTCCCTTGCTGTTTCTTTGGAGAAGTCCATCCTAGTACCGAGTCTAGGCTTGCGGGCCCATCAGGATTAGAACTAGAGTTCCAGGTGCTCCTCTCTCACACAGGGCTTGAGCAGCACAAAGGAAGGCCATACATCTCCCTGGGGCTCAGCAGCTAGTAGGACAAAGACACACACCAAAGCACCAGAGTGTAAGTTGTGAGCTGCTCTCATCAGAGCCACTGAGGACACCCTCAGGGCCAGATCGATGTTCCCTGCCACTGTGACCAAGGAGCCCTTCACAATACTTGTGTCGCTCATGAGAGAATGCCACACACAAAAGCATGGTTTGCCTTGAGTGCAAAGTGCAGACTTTCCCCCTGCTCTTCACTTGGCCCCGGAGGGAGGAAGGCTCAGTACCTGCGGGAGGTGGAGGGCACCCGGTGTTGGTCAGTGCCAGACTCCTTCACAAGGTTTCCTTTGCAGCATATGACCCTTAACTTGTCCTGATATGAGGAAGCCAAGTAAATCGCTCCCGAGGAAATTGCAGGGCCCAGGTAGCGAGGGTTCGGGATTTCCAGATATGCTCTGGCAGGAGTCCTGCAGGGTTCCAGGAAAGAGTTAACATTCGTTATTGGTTACCACCATTGCTGCATGGCATCCCTAACCTCAAAGCACAGAGGGAAATGCTTACCCCAGAGAGGAGCGTGCCTGGATCTCAATTACTTCCAGTGAGTTGAAGTGAGTCACAAACAGATAGGGTTCTCTGTAGGCTGCAAAACCACCACGGAGAATGAGCACGAAGAGGAAAAAAAGTTGTGGGAGGGAAAACAGAAGAAGGAAAATCAAGGCTTGCAAAAAGACCAGTGACCCAAAAACCAGAACCTTATACACAGTGTAATCACACGTGTGTATGTGCTCGTGCGTGGCATGTGGGTTCATTTACTGCCATGCTGTTCATTACTGCATCAGGAATAACTTACATCAGAGGAATTAAGAAATTACAGCATCCCTATGGAACCCTGCCCAGGGTAAGACATGCACCATGAAGCCCTGCACCTACCCACAGTGAGCTGCTCAAACAGCAGGGCAAGTTCAGAAGGATATGAGGAGCCTGCTACCCTTATGATGAGGAGAAATCTATTATATGCTTGCATTTGCATACAACACTGGGAAGATGATAAACTCAAAGTTCTTCCCTCTGGAGCAACAAGATGGAGACAGTAGGAGACGGACACAGAAGTGAGGCTTCGGTGAACCTGTTTATACTGTTTACTCTCTAAGAATTTAAAGATTTTTCTCTCCACATATAAGTGCTTTGCCTGCATGTATGTCTGCACATGTGTGTCTGATGTGCTCAGGGGCCAGTAGAGAGTATTGGATCCCCTGGAACTGGAGTTACAGACAGTTGTGAGCCACCATGTGGGTGCTGGGACTTGAACCAGGGTCTTCTGGGAGAGCAGGCAGTGCTCTTAACTGTTGAGCCATCTCTCCAGTCTCTCCAAGTAAAGTTTTTAAAAGATAGTTACTTAGATATTGCTGTGTGTTTTTATTGTTACTATTATTATTTATTTCGTTTTGTAGCCTCCTTATGTAGCCCAGGCTGGCCTTGAACTCCAGGCCCATCCTGTATGTGTAGCCATACCAGCTACGTCTTAATCCTCATCTCTGTATAATGGTGCCTCTGGAACTAGAGAAGACAGAACAGGTCCTGTTCTCCTGGAGGGGAAAGCTGGTCCTGACTGCTGCTCCTGTGGCAAGTCATGGCTTTGCCCTTAGACAGGTGGTGGGCTTTGAACATGGCAGTCCTGCTGGCCTGCTTGAACTGGCAGAATATCGTGCATGTTAAATGCTACGAAACCTCCGTTTATACTCTTGGAAGAGTCCACATACAGGGGAACAATGGCCTGTAGTTGAGTGAGTGACCCCTACAACACAATTCCCAGCAAAAAGAAAAAAAAAAAGCAAGCTTGTTTCTCCTTATTTCTGAGGCTGTTTTTGCACTTTCTTCTTGTTCCAGATCCCCACTGATACCATGAGGGGCAGAGCTGAGTGGACCCAGAGTCATGGGCAACATGCATGTTGCTATAAGCCACTGAGGTCCAGAACTGGTTATTAGGTAGCAAAGGGTGAACAAGAAAGTATTTTCTTTTACATTTATTTGTTTACTGTGTGTGTGTGTGTGTGTGTGTGTGTGTGTGTGTGTGTTTCCTTTGGGCCACAGAGGTGCTGTAGAACATCCACACAGTCTTGTTATAAGGACCTACATTTAGAGACTTGCACTCAAACGATACAATCTGCCAAGTGTTCAGAGTCAGTCCTAGCTCACACAGTGTTTATACTTCAAGAATGAATAGGTGTAACCTCATTGTTCTGCCTAGTCAGGATTATCTAATGTATGCTCTACTATGGGACACTATACAGCCTTTAAAATGACTTCTCATCCATGGGGAATATTCTCCTTTGTATCATGGGACCATAAACATTTCACAGGCTGGACTCTGGCCTGGGAGAGCTGACTTACACATTCTCCACAGACACAAAGTTAGGTAATTGTTGCCCACATAGCTTAAGTCCATTAGAATACACAAGCTTCAGCAAACAGGAGCCCCTGAATTCCCCACCCCCAACCCGGCACCTCACATACCAAAGGCCAGAGGTAAGCGACTCCACTTGAGATCATCTGTGCGGCTACGTCTTCCATAAGAATCCACGAACACCCCGAATTCTGTAAGGTGTCAAAAGCATAGAGACATTAACATCAGAGGCCACATATGATCTGCTGGAAGAACAAGGAACAAACCCCAGGGACAACTGACCAGATTTAACTAGATTGTCACAGCCAGATGCCCTCCCTCCACAAAACCATTGCCTAGTTTAAATTAAAATGAGGATTTTCTTAAGTAAAGTTTTTTCATTAATCAAATTTATTCCAGCAAGAGGATTCAAGCAAAGGGGAAGAAGGAAATGGGAAAAGAAGGTGGAGAGGGAGAAAGGAAGAGATGGATAGACAGACAAGACAGGAAAGAGACAGGAAGAGGGGTTAGAAACACCCAGTGATTAAAAAGGAACAAAAACTTAAAAGAAAATATCAAGAGAAAAAGTAGCAAAAAACCAAACCAGAGGAAGAAGGTGAGTGACAGAAAAAGAAGCCTCAAAATGGCCAGGATGCTACTCTGGTTGGAGAGGGAGAACCACACAAGGCATCCACGATGCTGGGTAAACATTCTCTGTCCCTTTGGCAGGACCCATCCTGCTGACCAAAGGAAATGCAACAGGCCCAGGCTGGGGACTGACCGTGGAAGCAAAGTAGGTACTCCTCCCGCTGCCCGGCTCCATTGGCCTGCACGATGGAGACAGGGAAGCTGTTGGATGAGGATGCAAAGACAGCAGGTGCCAAAGAGTGGTCGTTCTTGTCCAGGAATTCTGTGAAGGCAGGTGAGAAGGTGCTTCAGGAACGATGCCCAAGCCTCCCTGCTCGAGGCCCAAGCCCTGCGGAGTGGGGATGGGGGGAAGACCACAGCCCTACCCTCCAACGTGTACTGCTTCATGTCGATCTCATAGAATTTGTTGGTTCCAATGAGGATACTGTAATTGGTGAAGTGGATACAGCTGCACGGTTCGGAGGTCTCTATCTCCTGAGGTGAGGGGACACAGAGGGACAGAGATGACACAGGACACCTCGTCTCTGCTGCTGTTTCTGCCTGAGTCTCTAGCCTCTCATCTCTGCCTGTCAAGGTGACACGTATCCTGTTTGCTGCCTCATAACCATCGCTCTATACCAGCCTCAGCAGCCTCAGAAAACCAGGCCAGACTGTAACTCCCAAATGGGTGAGAGACATCATTTCCACAGACAGGCAAAACACTGACAATATGTTCTTTCAGAAGCAGAAGAGTGGAATGCCACACCAACTATCAGCACTGGCCAAGGGGATGCCTGGCCTTACTTTGTGCTAGCTTGTAATTTGCTAGTGTCTAATTTGAGTCTGTATTATCCACACAACATTACTGCATCCCTGTCTTAATTGACTCATTATTTGTAGTCATTTCCAGGCCAATCCTAATATCATTAAAGACAAAACAAAAGGTAACCAGCATGATTTCTTAAAGTGATGGCCAGGAATGTCATTTGCCTAAAAACAACAGTTCAAATGTTAATCACCACCATCACAGAAAATGTATCCATCTGATCCCTACACCAAGGCTGAGGAGTCAGAAGCAGGATGCTAGCATGAGATGGTAAGGAAACCAAAGGTAGTTTTAACCTCAGATTGTAAAGTCAGCTCTTGCCAGCCTCACTGTCTCACTGGCCAATTAGAAAACACCAAGGTGGTGCTGCTTTAGCAGCATATATACTAAAATTGGAATGACAGAGATTAGTATGTCCCTTGTATAAGGATGACATACAAATTTATGAAGCTTTAAAAAAAAAAAAGAAAACATTAAGGTAGCTAGTTCCACCCCGGTACACATCCTACATGGGTGGTCAATAAACACCAGCTAACAAGCCTACAATGAGACCAGTTCACTAACAACCACCCACACTCGTAACTCTCATCTTTTTACACTGTGGGCATTATCATGGCATGACCAGGTATGAGCTAGGTTCTTCATCACACAACACACTTAGTCTGGGGACAGGAGACACCTTCTCCAGGGCAAGGCAGATTTAAAGGGTGGCTCGGTCCTCGAGGCTTCACACAGCAGTCATGCCTACACGTTCCACCCTGAAGGGATCATACCCCTGATCACAAGTCAAAAGAGAGCCTGCACTGGCTTGTCCCTCATCACCAGAAACCTCTAGGCATGGAGGAAGACAGGCAGATGTTGCTGGAGGCTACTGGCTAAGACAAAGCTGCTTCTGTCATCTTAAAAACTGTTTAATCTCTGCCATCCCCCTCCAGGTCCCAAACAAGAGAAGCAAAGTGACTGAGTCACTGTGGCTACCACAGGCTCCGGGCTCTTCCAGGAAGGACAGACCTCGAGCTCTAGGCATCAGAAAGGAACAGACACATGCTCTCAACATAGCCCTCTGTGTGGCAGTGTGTGTGTGTGTGTTTGTGATGGACACAGGACACAAGACAAAGGGGACACACACACACACACACACACACACACACACACACACACGAGATAACTGGGCCATTAGCTTGCCTTCCGGATGCAGTACTTGCTGAGGTTGTCATTGTAGCGGAGGATAATGACTTTGCTTGGCATAGCAGCACAGATGCAGAGGCTGTTCTCGATCTAGAAGGCCATAGGGGTGGGGGATAGAAGGGAGAACTTGTCATCAGCATGAACTATAGTCCTGCACAAAACTAGACAAGGGGCGTGGTTAGAGCAGGGTCTGGTCTCAGCACTAGCGACATTTTGGACCAGATCGTTCTCTGTGAGGGAAGTAGGAGACAGTCTGCACACTGGAATAATGGGAGTACCATGGCCTTGGCCACCTTCTAGTTGTGACAATCAAAACTGTCTATAGACATTACCAAATGTCCCCTGGGGGCTGAATCACCCCTGGCTGAGACTCACTGCCTTACTCGGGATCCTGAGGTCTAAGGGCCACATGATACCACACAGTTGGTATATTTGTGCCTTTGGGTGGAGATAGACTTTTTTGATGTTACACTGAATGGGGGAGGATAGGGTGACATGAGAAAGGCTGGGGGGAGGGAGGGACGGGGCAGGGGGTGTGTTAGCAGGGAGCTTTTTGTCAAGTGGTTTATTTGCACTGTCAACTTCATGATCTGGAACCACTGAGCACATACACCTCGGGCATGGCTACAAGCCTTGTCCTGGGCACATTATCAGAGGCATAGCTTCTTTTCTGTCACTGTGACAAACGTTCTGACATAAAAACGCAGGGCAGATAGTGCTTATCCAGGTGGAGCCCATGGCTGAGCTGAAAGCAAGGCAGCAGAAGCTCCTGGCTGCCACGCCTCCGGAATACTGGGATTAGAGTGTACAGCAGTCCCTGCATTATTATTTCCAAGAGGTTCATTGTACAATCATGTGCTCTTGACCCCCGGAACCCTGAGTTTCGCCACTTGTTTCATGTTCCTCACACATTTCCTTCAGAGTCAAAGCCTGAGCAAACTTTTATTTTTTTACTACCTACCAAAAGGACACCAAGTGCTCATGGGTAAAAACACAATGTTCAAGGCTGACTCAGTAAGTTTGGTTAGAAGAAGACTAGGGTGGATTTCCAGAACATTCCAACAGCAAAGGCCTTAAGGGGAGTTTACCTTGCCAGCAGCAAACAAGTGACAGCCTTTGACAGCTTCAAAGACACTGGGGGAGATGTCAGGCTGGGCGGGAAGATGGGATTGTGCCAAGGACTGCTTCACCTTCTTCACGTCCACCAGACAGAGGGCACGCTCTTCCCCTGAGAGGAAAGGACAGCTGTGGTCAGGAGGAGGTCCATAAATGAAGACATGGGAGATGACTTGAGTACCCATGACTGGAAAGCACAGGAGCTATTCGGACAAACTAGGGAGTGTCTTTTATCCAAGATGGGGTGTGGCAGAAGGGGCTTCTGAGTTTGGAATATCTACATATATAATGAAATACCTTGGGGATAAGACCCATGTCTACATATGAAATTCCTTTGTGTTTCTTAAACCTCTTATAGCCTAAAGTTAACTTTATATAGTAGGTGAGGAGGTGGGGGCTGCCCTGAATTTTGACTGAAACTAATCAAATACAATCAAGGAGGGAATTTCCCATGGGTAGCACTGTGGTGATGCCCAAAGTTTCAGACAGTGGAACGTTTTTTGAATGTTCTGATAAGGGACACCCTTGACCAGTATACGCATTCATCATCTCAGACTGTGCTTTATCTCAGAAATGAAGGCAGCCGATTTCTTGGTTCAAATCCTTGGGAATAGGGATTTGAAACTGAAGAATGTTAGCTGAATTTCAGAAATGCTCCCAGAACATGTAAGAAAGAATGTATTAGGGAGCCAGGAAGGGGTTCAACTATTCAGATATGTCCATGTTGTGAGTGACAAATGGAGGGTTGAGAACCAAGCAGGATGTGGTGGCTTGTGCCTGTAATCCCAGCACTCAGGAGGTGGAGGCAGGAAGTTCAAAGTCATTCTGAAACTACATAAAAAGTTCAAGGCCTGGAATAGAGTTGAAAACCCTGAAATTAACCCACACACCTACGAACACCTGATTTTTGGCAAACAATCCAAATATATACGCTGGAACAAAGAGAACATCTTCAACAAATGGTGCTGGCATAACTGGATGCAAACATTTGTAGAAGACTACAAATAGACTCAAGCCTTTCACCCTGCACAAAACTTAAGTCAAAATGAATCAAAGACCTCAACATAAACACAGCCACACTGAATCTACTAGAAGATAAAGTGGGAACTACCCTTGAATTAATTGGTACAGGAGACCGATTCCTGAACATAACACCAGTAGCACAGACACTGAGATCAACAATTAATAAATGGGACCTCCTGAAACTGAGAAGGCAAAGGACATAGTCAGCAAGACAAAACGACAGCCCACAGACTGGGAAAAGATATTCACCAATCCCACATCTGACAGAGGGCTGATCTCCAAAATATACCAAGAACTCAGGAAGCTATTCTCGAAAACACCAAACAATCCAATTAAAAAATGGGGTACAGAACTAAATAGACAATTCTCAATAGAGGAATCTAAAATGGCTGAAAGACACATAAGAAATATCCTTGGCCATCAGGGAAATGCAAATCAAAACAACTCTGAGATACCATCTTACTCCTTTCAGAATGGCTAAAATCAAAAATACCAATGACAGTTTATGCTGGAGAGGATGCGGAGAAAGAGGAACACTCCTCCACTGCTGGTGGGAGTGCCAACTTGTACAGCCAC